ATATAGAATTGATTTATCGATATTGAATGGATTTAAACGGATTTACAGGTTTACTGTTACTATACGATTTTATTGATATGGCATACGGTACATGTCACTGAACATTGATACTGATACTGATATGGATATGGATATTATATTGATTCATGGATACCAATACCGATACCGATACCACTGATACATTGATTCATTGTACTGATCTTATAGCACGTGATACACCGAAAAAGATACATGTGATACACCGAACAAGATACATGTGATACACCGAACAAGATACATGTGATACACCGAGCAAGTGATTATTGATTTATTGATTTTTATATGATTTTATTTCATTGATTTATTTCAATTGTATTTGATGATTTTATTGATTTGATTTCATCTGCTCTTACGATGTATTGATTTGATCATTTTATGTGATTCCATATCGATTGATATTATTAACCGGAATTACTTGATTTACTGATATGATTGATTCGATTTCACTGTTATAGCATAATCGTTCATGTCGTCATTGGATTGTTATTGATATTGATACATACGCTGCTGTAATGATTGAGATACTGATCAAATGATATATGATTTACTGAACATGTGATATCGATTACTGAATTGCATATGATTTAATGAGAAAGTTAGATTTAATAACTGATTGATTTGCAAGCATATGTTTTGATATGATTCTACTACATTGACTGACTGATGTTATAGACTGATGTGATAGTTAAGACGACTATTAACGAGATTTGATGCACGAACTAATTTAGGATTTATTGAGCTTTACGGACCTTTGAATTGCTTATTGATTCTTCTACTGTTGATTTAGGAGTTTACTGTTTCTTATTGTTACTGTATTGATTAATGTTCATACATTGATTTTCGTTATCTGCATCGATACTGTTTCTGTACTGATTTCCGTATCTGCATTGATTCACTGATCATGTCCAACTAACTGCTATGATTAGACTGATTGACATATATATTACTTTCGTACCGTGCTTTGATTTCGGTTGTAGGCTTTGGTGACCTGCTGGGCTATTTAAGCTCATTATATGTGGTTAACAATTTCAGGTCCGAGCAAGGGAGCAGGAATGGAGATTGATCAAGACTGTCGACGAATCCTTTTCCTATGGATGCCTGGGGCGTCACAGAAGTCCTGCCAGACCATTAATCGACACCCGGACTTCTATTATATAATTGCTACTTCTTAGAGACGAGTCATCCCATTGTAACCAACTCAAGTTCTAGTGAAATCTTTTCAACTGGGCTAGGCCCCGTGGTTTTTCCCCTTTCAAGGGTTTTCCACGTAAAAAATCTTGTGTTCTCTGTGTGAGAGCTGGATATCCGTATAACGCTAAGACGAAAATTTAAAACTCTATCGCCGCGTATATTCTAGTCTACAACAAATCTTGAGGCAAAAATCTAGTTGGAAACTTCAAAAATTAAATCCGGGTTCATCTGAACTCCGATTTCAACAAACTTACAGTCAAACTGAGCGTATCTGAAATACAAACCCAACAACACCAAATTCGACTTAATCCGATCCCAAATGAGTCCAAATCAAGGACCCAAAGCACTGTTGGAAGGTTTGAACAACAATTTGGGTTACCAAACGGTTTCCAAACATAAAGTGATTATAGTCAAATCGAGCGGCTCGATGAGACGAATCCAAGAAGCACAAGATCGTCCAGTACGAAGTGATATCGTACAGTACCATCAGTTTAAAAAATATGAATTTTAAACTCTCCCCCGGTGTGTGTGTGTGCACTCAGTTACTCAATTACAATCACAATTTCTCAGACTCAATAAAGAGGAAAATACATACTTCAATTACAATAAACTCAAAATTGATCTTGATTTGAAGTCTTCAACATTCCGGAGTATGATTTTCCTGAAATATTAGTATATACAAGAGTAAAACAATTCTTTCAAAATATGTTAGGAGAAATAATAATCAAAGCAATAATATTTGGAATCATTAAAAACATATAGGTTGTAAGAATATCAAACATGCAAAACTAAGTAGCAACTATCTCAACGCTTTCATCTTTAATGATCAGAGACCCTAAGAAACAACTTAAGATAGTAGGTGTTCCTAAAGAGCAACTGAAGGTTATGTATCTCATATGTACCATCTCACTTCACCCAACAAGATCGTTTCTTTTGAGTTCCAGCACAATGTTTATGGTCACTCAATATATGTTGAGGACACCATTGATGCTGCAATATTTTTTTTCATGAAGATCAAGTCCAAGATTCCTAATATTTTAAACATATTAGAACCTATTTCTAGCCGAAGGATGAACTTTGAAGAGTTTTGTGCTGCCGCCATCAGTCCATATCATTCGGAAGCCTTGGAAGAATGGGAACAAATGAACGACATTAAAAACATTTGAATATTTTGAGCAGGAAGGCAACATGGTCATCACAGTTGAAGAGCTAGTACAAGGAATGAACCTTGCTTCTACTACTTACTCCATTGTTCAAGAATGGACCAGACCTTCAGATGGTGGTATACTGTATGTTGTCGTTAAATCTAAATATGTGGGAAATGTGCAATTATGACTTTTGGAAGGAAGCTGAAGAAACCCTAGCGAATAATTAATTATTATTATGAAATGTCACATTATTTACTTCTTTACCCTCTATACTTCTATTAAAACTCTTGTAATCTTTGTTCACAGATGAATATTTGATTTTCCTCTTTTGTTGTTTCTTCTTTCTACGTTTCCCGCTGCTGCTCTCACATGGTATCAAGAGCCTTCTCTAGGGGATCATGAATCTGCTGCCTCCCTCCCTCCCCCTTCTTCTAACATTTTTGAATCTCCCTAAGATTTCTCCATTCCCACCTCTCTATAGTTTCTCATCACTAACATCAAGAACCTTCTCCCAAATCCCCTCACCATCGAAAGCTATGCGATCTAGTGAATCCAAGTGCTTCAACATTTCTCAGCTAATGACTGTGCTGGCCATCTCACCAGTTCCACCCCATTACCTGCCGACGCTAAGCCTTCGGAACAATAAAAATGGCATCTCGTTGATAGCAACCTCATCTCTGTGCTCTTCTCAACAATCTCTTCATCTATTCTCCCTTACATAATGACCACCTCCACCGCACTGAAGTCTGGATGGTTCATGAATGTCGTCTACATTCTACGAGTCACTCTCGAGTCATACAACTCAAGAATGAACTCCACCACATACAAATGAAAGATTCAACTATGCAATATTATCTCACTCAAATTAATACTATAGTCGACAACCTTGCTGTGTCTGGTTCCAAGATTGATCCGGAAGACATTATCCTATACATTCTCAACGGTCTTCAGTCATCATACAACTCATTCAAGATAGAAATTCGTACCTCCCTTCTAACAATCGATCTCGACACACTTTACTATCTTTTGTGCGGAAAAGAAATAAATCTTCAACAAGAATCCATGAAAGAAAATCCCTCGCTGATAAGCAACTCAACTCTCTACGCCACCACTTCTAATCCTGCTCGTGGTCGCAACTAGAAGCGATTCTTTAAAAATAAGAATCCTCCCACCTGTCAAGACTATGCCGCCCCTCCAAATCCGTAGTCAGCCGCCTACTCACCCTCTCGCCCACTATGCCAAATCTGTAAAAAACTTGGCCACATAGCCATCAATTGCTGGCATAGATGCAACTTCAAATACGCTCCCATAAATCCTCAACCATCGTGGGCAATGCTTGCTTAATCGTCCCCTACCTTAACGCAAGATTGGATCCTAGACTCGGGTGCCTCATCTCACCTCACTTCGGACAACAATAACATTCAACAACCCATCCCATATCATGGATCTGACGTAGTTTCTATCGCCAATGGGAATTCCCTACCCATACATAATTCCAGCCAAGGTCTTCTCCCTCTACCGGATACACCTCGTAAGCTACACCTTCGCAGCCTTCTTCATGTCCCTTCTCTTACACATAACTTCCTATCTGTCTCTAAACTTACCTCTGATAATTCTGTCTCCATATGTTTTGACGATCTTGGCTTGTTGCATTTGAATATCTTAATGATATTAGAATTTGATGATATTTGGCTCGTTGGATTTGTTTGTCTAGCAACTCGATTCGACTATAAGCACGTCACGTTTGGAAATCATTTGGTCATCAAATTTATAATTTGAACTTTCCAAACGCTTTTCGGGTATTCGATTTGGACCCATCTAGGCTCGGATTGAGTTGAATTTGGTATCGTTGGGTTCATATTTTTGAGATGTTCAGTTCAACTATAAGTTTGCTAAGAGCAGAGTTCAAATGATTCCGGATTTAATTTCGGAAGTAATTTCCAATTTGATTTTACCTCGAGATTCATGCTCAATCATTTTAATTTTTTTATAACATATCATTTATTAATCATAATCATAATAAGTTATTTTTAGAGTCCCTAAAAAAAGCTTTTTGATGATGATAAGTTGTATTGAAAAAATCAATCAATTTTTTTTTCTTCTTTTCTGTTGAAACACTTAAAAAAATGAAGAGTTGAAATACCAATTATGACTCTTTAAACTTAAAGCATTTGAAAATCAATTAGCCGTTGAAAAATATAATATCTACTCATGTAAACTCAATATTTTTCTTATTATTTATGTATTCTCAACACATCCTTTAAAATAAATATCCTAAATCCACCACTAACAACACCAACTTTTCTAGCATAATATTGCACAAATTTATCACATAAATGGTTTAGGATATATATATAACTTCAGTAGTGATATTAGGGATGTGGCTCAAATGCACGAGAAGATATTACATTCGAAGTTAGGATAAGAGCAGAGTTCGGTCGTAGCTCTCATTCGAACTCCAATGAAATCAAGTAACGTAGCTTCTACACATCATATGTATAACTTGTACAAAGTATACATAATATTCACAACGTATAAATCACGTGGCTTGATTTTATTAGAGTCGAACATGTTCAAACTCCGCAATTAATAATTTCTTCAGATGCAAATTGTCATCACTCATCACCATTGACGAGGAGGATCAATATCTATATGTCGCTTAGATGAGGAGTTCTCACTAGCATGAGAATTCAATTGTGGAGCAGATGTAGGGCTCAAATCAACATTAGAAATTTTCTGATTTCTCTCTACAGTTGGCATCGATGCGTCCCTGTTGGAAGGATCATCAAATTCCATGATATTTCTCCTAGGCATCAGTGATTTAATATGTAAGATACGGTCAAGGAGTCTTGAGCTCGACTTGATCTTCAGTCCACTTGCGTAGATTATTTTCTCGGATATTTCCCTTCTAAAGCCATTCGCTCTGCACAAATTTGGAAGGAAAGCTCCTACAAGATAAAATTCTTGCCAAAAATTAGTTTCTGATAGAAGAAGATTGAAAGTCCTTTTCTTTGATAATTAAATAAATAATTAACCACCTTCGCCGGCGGCGATGCTGAAGTAAAGATCGACAATGTTGGGGCAGTTCAGGAAGCATTCCGACGAGCATAGTCGTTCCATGAACCGCCGGTTGAGCAGAGAATCTGAAGAGATGCCGACCGATTCCCTCTCTAGACTGCAGGCTGCAATGCACACGTCCGTCTCAACCCATCCAGCCATAACAGTGGCTTTTAAACCGGAGGTCTGGCACGTGTATACCTCCTCCCCCAGCTCAGCCCCTCGCGCATGCTTCTCAAGAAGGCAACGCAAGCCGTTGGAAGACACCGCAAAGGCGCACGTGTTGCGAGCTAGTTGTTCACAGGTCATCCAACCTGTAATATCATAAGATGAACAGAGCACAAAAATTTAATATTTTAATCAGAAAAAATAATTAAAAACAATGATAAATAATGAATATTAATGACCAAGCACTGCTGTGACGAAGAATGCGAAGGCTAGAAAGAGTGAGACGAACTGCTTCGAGAGAGAGGTGGCCATTAATGATCTTCCCTTTCTACTGAAAAGAAGTTCTTCTCCTGGTCATCATATATTGAATATCAGACTGTATTTATGGCTAAGAACGTACAAGTCCTTTTAGCTTTCAGGTTGACAATTAATATATAGATATTAAAGAAAGATGGAGGGTCGGATGACCCCATGCATTGGGAAGAGGCGGAAGCTACAATATTGCATTGACACTAATGCAAGATGTTAAACTCTCCTGATCGATGAAGAAAAAGTCCTTTCAGCTTCCAAATGTGCAACCTATATAAATATAATACATATATAAAAGGCGCTGCAGGGTGTGAAGCTACCTTGCATTGATATATATATATATGATAAATATAAATTAATGAAGCAGGAGGGCCGGTTGCTAGCTACCATGCAATGATTTAAAAGTGCCTGGAGGGCTAGATGCTACCATACATTTAAATAAAAATAAAATATTAGAATAATAAAATATATTTGTATCAAATCAGAGTAAATAAATCAAATATGATAAAAAATTTAGACATAAGAAACATATTGGTATTTGAATTCGGTCTTGAAGAAAACCAAATATGATAAAAAATTTATTCTTTTCACACTTTGTAATTAAGCTTTTCTAAAGAGTTCTACATTGATTAACTAGACATATCGGAAGATAAGAAAGCATTACTTCTTTCAGCACTGCCAGTAATCGCAATTCAATATTATGCAACTAATTTTTTTTTTTTTTTTTACTTAGCTTCGTTGCAGCATCTACTCAGTGAATTTTCTTACAATATTGATAAAAATATGTTGATAAAACCAACATGTTTATGGGAGCTTCTACAAAATATTAATTCATTTTGATAAGCATATAAGCCGCAACAAATTATAAAATAATGAACTTGTTTATGAAATTTCGATCCATAAATGAAAATATTTTGATATGAAAAGAATTTTTTAAGATAGAAAAGATGTTATTTATATCCATAGAAATTTGAAGAATTTTTTGAAGGCTCACATGATTGCAAAAATTTTAGGAGAATAGATACATCATAATTCTAGCTAGCATAAGTTCATTACAACAACAACAACATCACAAGCCTTTATCCTACTTAGGTTAGCTACATAAATATTTTTTTTTTCATCTGCGGTCAGGAAGGAGTTTCTGCGAGTTGCTCTCCCACATTTTCTGGTTCTGGGTAGTCTTTTTCCTTGCTTTGTTACTTCAATTTTGTTGTTCTTTTTCGGTTAGCTCTTTTGTCTCACCCTCCTCCGGCCATTCCTGGCCGAATGGTGGGCGATCACATTTCTAACCCAAGGTTTTTGGGTGCTTCTTTGAAATCAAGATCTTTTTAGATGTTTTATCTAGTTCTTCATTGGATGTGTGTTTTTTCCTGAGCTTAAACCATCTTCATTTCGTGGTATGCCCTCTCTTTGGATCTCGGAAGAGGAAATTCTAGCATTAGCTGCTCCTTTGCAATTTGCTTTGGTTAATTGTTTTCCTAGCCATCGCGTGCCCTAGCCTTGATTCTATTCAAAAAAATTTCTTCAACCTTAAGCTTAATGCCGATTTTTTCGTAACTTTGCTCAACCCGTCGCATGTTTTGATTAAGTTGATGAATGATTTGGACTATAGCAGAGTGTTTGCTCATAGATCCTATTTTGTCAATAATTGCTACATGAAGTTAACCAAATGGTCACCCTAACTTGATATTGGTGTTGAATCGTCAATTATTTCTATTTTGATCTCATTCCCTAACTTAAGACCTCACCTTTTCTCTCCTCGCATCCTACGTGGCCTTGGTTCATTATGTGAGCATCCTTTAAAGGTGGACAATGCCACTACCAATGGATCTCGACCATCTGTTGTGAGGATTTTGGTAGAGCTTGACATTACAAAAAAATATCCGGACAAAGTTTGGCTCGGACCTAAAAAGTATGGGTATATCCACCTTGTTTATATGGAGGAATTTTCTCCTTTTTGTGCTAGCTGTAATTGTATTGGGCATGCTATAGAGGATTGCAATAAGTCCTATGTCCCTGTTTCTAAGCAACTTACGACTGTTGGAAATTAAGGTTTCTGGTTTTGCTCCTAAGGATATGGAAAATTTTGATATGGATGGTTCTCTAATGCCTATTTCGCTTATTAAGGCTATGTTGGTTAGTGAAAATGCTAGTGGGATCACTGTGGGGGGCGTTGTTCCGTCCAGTGTTAACTTGCCTTTGGCTTTGTCATCTAACAATGGAGAGGATGGCAATTTGGTTTTACATCAATCTACCCCGGCCCCTAATTCTAATGATGGCGGTGGTGAGGATGCTGTTGTGGTTTGTGAAGCTATTCCTTTGAGGCTTGATGTTGTTTGCCCTTTGAGTACTTTGGATTCGCCGATTTAGGTTGGGGTTCTATGTAATGATTTGGCTCTTAATAATGTTGCGGTAGAGGTTGTGCCTCTAGTTGATGGGCCTAAAGTGGATGTTGACCCTTCTTCGCATAACTTTTATGTGGCTCAAGGTGATTTTGGTAATAAGTTAATGAATGTGGGTGATAATGATCTTTGTGCTTTGAATATAGGTGTGGTGAACATTGATTCTAGTGAGTTGGATCCTTCTATTGCTTCTCCTGTGACCCAGCTGATCTGGTTGTGTCGGTTTCCTCTGTGGGATTGGGAGTGAATGAGCAACTTGTTGATGTTCCAATTGTTTTACTTTCTGCTAACGCCTTGTATGCCCATGTGAGCGTCAGATCGGGGCAAAATGTTAAGGAGAAAATTGATTGGCTTGAAGTCTCTTCATCTTCTCCTTCTGAGGTTAATGAAGAGTAAGTGTTTGATCAGGATGGTGGTATGCGAGATACTATCATTCGGGTGGGTAAATGAAGAAAGAGGAAATCCAAAAAATAGTTATTTTTTGTGGTTGGCTTGGTGGCGATTACTTTGGAGCCTTGGGGTTGTTGTTGTGGTGCCACTTTTTTTTATCTCTGGACTTCGGATTTGGATGTCACTTTTGCTCGATCTGGTTGTGACGGTGCGTGCTTGATTATTCCTTTCCTCTACTTGGAGTTGTTTTTGGGCAACTTGGGTTGCACTTGGTGGAGATTGCTCGTTGGGATGCTGCTCGTTGGATCATTTGACAATTCATGGGTGTTGTTATGGTTGTTGGCGTTGTTGCAGTTGCCTTTTTAATTTTTTAACTTTAGTCTTTTCTTGTTTTGTCTTTTCTTTTCCTGTATTAGGTAGGATCTTAAGCTCTTAGGTTTTATTTCTAATGTTGTTCTTTTAGTGAGTTTCTGATCCTCTAAGATCACGTACTGTTTATCTTGTTTAACGCGTAGTCCCCGCCGTGGGTTCTCAAAAAAATAAATAAATAAATATTTTTTTCATAATATTCTATTAAGAATCAAATTCCCATTTAAATTTAATAAACAAATGTCATTTTTAATACTTTCTAACAAAATCTTTTTTGTTCTACCTCTACCCCTTATAACATAAGCTGGATTTAAATTAAAACATCTACTCATAACTGGATCATCAAAAGATTGTCATTTTATGTGACCAAGCCATCTAAGGCGACTCTCTCTAATCTTACATGGCACTAGCTAGAGCTTCTCCAACATTCTTACGTATACACTCATTTTCCATTTTATCTATGTGTAAACCATTCATCCATTGAGCATCCTCATCATTGCAAAACTTAACTTAATTTTATGCTTCTCTTTTAATGGCCAACATTATGCACCATAAAGCATTGCAGGTCTCACCACCATCTTAGAAAACTTTCCCTTAAGTTTGAGGGGCTCTTTTATATCACAATATGCCCAATGCATTCCTCCACTTCAACCATCCAACTTGAATTCTACTTATAATACTATCCTCATATATATTCACCATCGCTTTGAACAATAGACCCGAGACATTTAAAATGTGCACATTTTTTAATAATTTGATCACCCTAAACCACAAACCCACCATTAGATATATCACTAATAAAATTATACTGAATGTCTTCAGTTTTAGATCTATTCAAACAAAAATTATTAGACTCTAAAGTTGACCTTTGTAATTCAAGTTTTTCTTCAACTCTAGTCTTATAAATAAGATAAATATTTTCAGCAAAAATCATACACCAGGGTGCATCCTCTTTCAAACGTCTAAATATTTATGACTAAACAAAAAATATATGGCTTAAAGCTAATCATTGATGTAATTCAATTGAAATTGAAAAATATTTTGTCAAACCACCTTGTGTTTGATTACAAGTACAAACTCTTGTATACATATCCTAAAAATTTACAAAAAACTAATTTTAGTTAAAATTATCTTTCAAACTAATTACCTAATTTAATATTGAAAAAAAAAATGAGAAAGTTGCTTCTCTCAAAACAAACAGGTAAAAGAAAAAAATAAGAAATAAATTGAGTTTTGGACATTTTGTTGTTCTCTCCTGCGTAACATAAAAGAGAAAATATAGCCAATTGATCATTGTCAGTGAAATAAATCATTTTGTTTCTCAAATAATACTTCATAAAAAATTCACTTGATCAGGCATGAATTTTGAGGAAATATTCAAATTTAAAACATCCATAATTATACTAATTAGGATTATCCAAGCATTAACTTCAACAAAATTATAGTCAAACTAAACTTTTTGATGAGATAAATAAGTTGTTGACAGTAAATTTGATCTTATCTAACTCCAAATGAATCCAAATCTAACTATTGAAGTATAATTAAAAACTTCAAATTTACTGGATTATCAAATAATCTTCAAATCTTTTGAGCTTAGCGTCAAGTTGAGCATCATAAGAGATGAATACAAGCAGTCCAAGATTATCTAATTTCAATATCATTAAAATATGT